TCAGAAAACATTTTTCTTCTCCATTTTGAAAAATAGTAATGGATTATAATTATAATATCAAAAAATTCTGATTATAATATCAAAAAAAGGGTTGAATTAAATCAATGTGGTTATCAGTCCTCTTTTTTGTTTCTCTACAAAGAACAAGTTCATCTTTTCCAGTTATCTTGGATCAGATAAAAACAAACCATGGATGCTAGATGAACATGTAAACACTGAAGAAATCAGAAAAGCTACATCATATTTACAATCCACCATAGACTTATTCACCTCCATCCCACCCTACAAAAGCACTGTTTACTGAGATAACTCAAAAGAACAGCAGGATGTGCATTAAATGGAAAAGAGATAGCAGGAAGCTCACTGTGGAAGGAAGTCAGAGTTTGGGGATAGGAAATTCCCTAGTCAGCTGCCACAGGGACCTGAACAAAAATGCAGAGCAATCAAAAGATAGCTCAGACTCAGGCCCACCCCAGCAGGAAGAGAACAAACACGTGCTAGAATGTGACACAGCTCTCCAAATCCCATCTGTCTGCCTGACTGAATAAATTCAGCAAACCATCTTTGGGTCCTTTTATTATTATTATTGTTGTTGTTGTTGTTGTTGTTATTATTATTACTATTATACAAGCACTTACTTAAGCATTACATCTGGACTAGCATTGTGTGGATATAATGGTTAGCAAGATTTGGTCCCTACCTTTAGGCTAGAGGAAGACTCAGAAATTGCCATCTGAGTACTTTTTTGGTCTCTTATATTTATTCCACTGACATTTAATAAGCACTAATCATATATAGAACTGGGCTGGGCATTATGGGGGATTCCCGTGTGGCTGAGGGATTCCTCCAGCCTCGGCGGGATGACTGAAATCCGTATTACAAAGCAGCGTGGATGCAGGCTCACAGAGGGGGCTCCCTGGGCTCCCTGTGAGTTCAGGAGAGGGCTGACGGCTCTGGCTGCTCATGGATGGCTTCAAGGTAGAGGTAGTGTGTTCAGCAATCCGGAAGGATGGTAAATGTTTAGTAGATGGCAACGGGAGGCAGAGAGGGAACAGAGTGGTCAGAGACACGGAGGGGAAGGCATGTCTGGGACTAAAGGGAAAAACTTAAATTAGAATGGCTACTGGGTGGGGTAATTTATTATTCACTTACTGTTCACTAGGCTATGAGCTGAGAAGAGGGTTCATAAGTCAAGGAGACATAAAGCCGGGTAATCTGTGGCTGAGGGAGAGAAAGGGAGGGATGACCTTTTGTGGGCTGAGGTGCAGGGGCCAGACTGTGGAGGTCTGCGAGCAGCTCCCCAGGGAATGGTGCTGGGGAGCAGCGAGCGACAAGGACCCCAGGGGTGGGGTGGAAGGCAGGCCTGGGACGAAGGTGTGAGGAGCTGGGAGAAGCACACATTTCCTTCTTTACAGCTGTTTCTCAGGCTGGCTTTTTGGCACTAGGAGGAAACTTATGTAGTATCAGGGGGTTCTTGAGGCAGCTGCTCATCAGCTGTTGGAAAGAACTGGGGATTATCATGGACAGCAAACTGTTGCTTACATTCTGGTTGAGAGTCTTAAAGGTTGCAGACCCTTGGATGAGAGGGAGATTCATCCCTGATGGGAAAAGGAAGTGGGAAGAGGGTAGAGGAAAGGACAAATTTTGTGTGCATGTGCAAGTGTGTGTGTATTTAGGGTAGCAGGAAAATGAATAAAAAATTAGGGATATGTGGGTCACTGAACAATAGTAAGGTTTATTTTATGTTGAGTTTCTAACTAAGTAAGAGTGCATTAAAGAGAAAGCTCAACAAGATTGTCCAGGAAATGGGGCTTTTATATAATAGTAGATGAGATATCAAATGTATTTAGCATAACTGATAGTATTAAAGTTAGTATTAAAGTTTTAAAGGTGTAGGACAGAGCTCAGCAGGTCTGGATTTGTTATATAGGGAGGTTAGCTCTGTGTGTTTCACACAGTTTCTCAACTTTGACATGTCAGCACCCTGGTCCTCAGAGGGACTGTAAGAGAAACCCTGTTTAGATGATCCCAAATCCATTAGCTCCACAGAACAAACAACTTAAGCACTGATCTCAAGCATGATGGCTCAGGAATAGCTAGTTCAAAACACAACTTCCAGTTGCTTCCCTTGTTAACCAAAGTTGATTTTGATTTTAAACAAATATTTAAAAGTTATTTTTAAACTATTAAATTTAAACAAAAACCAAGGGGACTCACAAAGCCGATATGCTGTTGCCTGCCTTCACTAGGCTGAATTTCTATACGGGTGACCAAAGCCAAAGAATGGAAGCTACTCCCTCCCTGTCTCACTCCCAAGAGTTCAGCAGTTTAGGTTTGCTCCCAGTCAGTCTTTGAAATAAGAGAACTGTAGAAAGAGACTATCAATAAAAATTAGAATAATGAAAGAAATGCTTCCCAATAACCAATTGGAAGAGAAAGTATAAAAATAAAACACCATTTATGTTCTGTTTTCCTTTCATACAGACCATGTGTTTTAAGCTTAGAAAAAAGAAAACCAGTGCTCTTTCTCCCTTTTAATTCCCCCCACAATCCTGCATGGAAAATAAACTTTTTCTTAAGAGGCCAGGATAATTTGTTGAGGGGGCTGTGGGGAGAAGACAGAGGTGGGTGGATACAGCCTTAGGGACTGGGTCTTTACATGCCTACTTTCTCTGAGAATGAGGCATTTGCAGGCAAGCAGTGAGAGCAGACCATCTCTGACCATTCCTCAGAGCCTCCTTTTGTGGTGCCTGGATTTGTATTCATGCTGAGTCCCCTCCCAGCTCAGAGGCTAAATCGGGCACAATTCCATCATATAGGTTGGCAGAGACCGTTCTGAAGCACTGCCTCTCCTGCCGGCTCACCTGGCTGGCCGCAGAGCCAGCCAAGCTTGTGGCAGCCTCTGGGCCTGTCCTGTTGACAGCTCAATGTTTAGTTCCCTGATGCTTTATTCACTGAGGCCAGGCCAGTGAGCTGAAAGCCCAGAGCATGGCCCCTTCTCTGCTCTTTCCTGCCTCTGCAGCTCTGGATCTGGATGGAATCCCGTCAGTTTTAACTGTGTGTCAGGGATGGGGGTTCCTGGCCTGGGAACTGAGTTCTAAGAGACAACGAATCGAGTCAGAAGGTGCAATGGTCTTGTCCTCTTTTTGTGAGTGGGTAATTCAGAGTCTAACACATTTGAACAGTGGCGGGGTGGGCTAGGCCTGTGACCATAAGCCCTTTGATTCTAGCCTTACCTGATAAACTGGGCTGGGTGCGTATACTATTTTGGTTAAGATACTCAAAATAATTATATTTTTATAGAGAAAACACAAAACACTGATTTTGCAAGTCTGGATTGGCATTAGTCGTGAAGTTATACTTAGGGGGTGTGATGATGTGACTTTTTGTTTCTCCTGGGATCCTAAACTCCATGAGGGCTAAACTAATAACATCCTTCTGGATGTGCCAAGATTTTCCCTCCTCCTGGCCACACTCAGTGGCCTCTCTGTCAGCACAGAGCCTGGCTTGGACTAGGGGATGCTGAAAGGCCTGGGGTGTGCAGAGGAGGCCTGGAGGCAGCACATGAGGGTCCAGAACACATTTATATTCATGGAGGCTTCACACCTTTGGATTTATCTTTTGCTCAGGTTCAAATTGGGTGAATATTCATGTGGTGAAAATACCCTTTCCTCAAATGGGCCTGACTCTGCTATTTCTCTGTTCAGTTCATTGTGCCTGTGCAAATAACTTCCTTTGTTTTGATCAAGCTGGCTCTCTAAATTGCTGAAACAGAAGCATGAAAAGTGAACCTACTAAATCTCTCTTCATTTAACAGTCATTCAATTCAATAGATATTCAAAAGTGTTACCAAACATATTAGCTTCCTGTCCAAATAAATTTATACAAATTGGCTTTGTCTACTGGCCCCTATTTCTCTGCAGTGCCAGCCTTAGGGGAAAAGAATGTGCATTTGGTACCCAAACATGCCATCTGTGCATGCCCTTTGGGGTACAGTCAAGAGACCTTTCTTGCCCTGGGAGGTAGGTAAGGCAAGTACTGGTTGCTAACTCAAAACCTTGATTTGTAAATTGAGCACCAAGTTGTGCCTGAAAAATGGTCTTATAGTAAATCAATTATCACAAACATTAAAGAATCAAAAATAATTTTTTTTGGCCCAGGAATTGGATTTCTGTATCATTATTGTTTTAAATTACAACATCATCAACAGAAGAATAGCAGCTACCATTTCTTGAGTACAGACTATGCGCCAAGCACAGCATTGAGTGTTTCTAACAGAGTCCTCATGAGAAGCAGGAGGCAAAGTCTATTATCTCTGTTTGGCAAATGAGGCGACTGAGTTGTGGATATACTCATTTGCCTAGAATTCTTGGTGAGCCAGTCTGAGAGGCGGGTTTGCTGGCTCTGAGCCCATGTCCTGAACTGCTCCCTGGGGCTTCCTTCTCTTTCCCGCGCCTCTGTCAGGTGGAGCGCATCATCCTCAGACTGATGAGCACCACCAGCCTGGGGCAAAGGGTCCCGCTAACCTTGAATCTTGGTTTAATCCTTCCTTGGGTTGCGTGGAAAAGAGGAAATGACAGAGTGTTTGAACCTAAAATTTTAAAAAGCAAAAAGGTGTAACATAAGAGCCAACAGAAATGAAAATAATCCCAGGTGAGGAGTCAGAAATACACTACTTGGGTGGTGATTAGATTGAGAGATCTTTGTTTCACTCTTCCTCCGTTACTTCATAGGACCAATGATACAAAAGGAATAGAAAAATATTACAGTCTCTTATTGAATATACGAATTTAACAGGAACATACTCTATTTTCTACATAGAGACCAAACTGAATCTTTTAAAACATACATCTTTTCCAAAACCCCTATGGCTTCCCATTGCAGATAAATTTCAGAGCCCTGCATGGCCTACACGGCTTGGCACAGTCTGGCCCTGGCTCATATCCCTCTTCCCATCTCCCGCCCGGCATCATCCGTGCTGGCCTCCTGTTTTCCTCCAATATGCCAAGTCAGCCTCAGGGCCTTTGCAGTTGCAATTTCCTCTACTTGGACAGCTCTTCCCCCACAGCCTCTCTCACTTCATTTATGTCTCTGCTACAGAGTACCACATTAGAGAGGACTCCTATGACCTCACCTAAAATACCACCCAAGTTCTCCATGCACATACTCACCCACATCTTACACACACCCACTTGTACACACTCTTACACGCACACATTCATGTACTCACTCATCACACCTTTACACACCCTCATACATGCTCACACTCACGGATGTATTTCCACACAGTGCCGACACTATCCTCTTTCTGGCTTTACTTTTTTTAATAACCCATATTGCCAGCTGACATGTAAAAAATTTTTTTTATTGTCTGTCTTCCCCCACTGGAAACAAAGCTCCATGAGATCAGGGACTTAATCTTTTTTGTAATCACTGCTGTATCTCCAGTGCCAATATAGTACCAAACACACAGTAAGGGCTTAATTAATATTTTTTGAATAAATGAATAAATTCAAGTCATCAAAATAAATCATTTCCATGCCTGTCACTGCATGCAACTCATTGTACTTTACTCAGAGAATCCCTGGAGAGAAAAGTCAGAAAAGCATGAAGGCGGTACCTTCTAATATAGAACAGCTGTATGGATCCTGGGCTCTTTAAACCGTGATGAACCCCATCTGTCCAGTGGCATGAAAAAGTTTCTAGTTCAGGTGAACGGCACTTGGTGAATTTTGGCTTTCCAGAAGAATCTGCAGAATAAAAACAAAAGGCAAGGCATGAAACCAGGAGGGAAATGTGCAGTCCTAATGAAACATGTATGTAAGGTGGCAAAGAACCACATCTTCTAGAGACGCTGTTTTCCTGGTTCAGAGTTTCAGAGCTTGTTGTGTGCCAGTTATTTCTATGTCAGCCCTCAATTCCAGGGACAAACCATTTTGTCTTTATTTCAAACAGTATTTTTTAGGGCCTGTTTAAGAAACCAGAGCTACAGACATGGATTTGGTGGATTTGGGAACAGAGAGTTTATTTAGAAGGTGACCCCAGGAACTAGGAGGGAGGGGAAGAGAGGGTGGGAATGGAGGGGGAACATCTAATAAAGTGTGTGTTATTCAGTTGGATATGGTAGTGACCAACTGGAGCCAAAGCCCCCAGGGGGCCCTTGAGAAGCTGTAGAGTGTGTTCCCAGTGTCCTAGACAAGGATGGGAGGCCTGGGTGTTTACACACCAGCCCCCATCACCCACTGCTTCAAGGTTGCCCTGAAGATGTTCATGCCCATGAACTTCTAGGTGGCACCTGCACTTGGGCTTAGGGGCCATGCCTGACTTTGGAGAAGCCTGGCAGGCACCTGAAGGGGCTTGGAAATGGGGACTCCATCCTCCATCCACTAATACCCATGTTAATGCAGCAAAGAAGCTCAGGCTTGGGAAATGTGTCTTTGTTTTAGAACACCTGCTGGCCTGAACACTCTGGCCACAAGCAAATGAATCTTGAGAAATTCTGTCTTGCAGGTAGGTCCCTTGCCCTGGCAGCCCGTGTTGGGGGTGGTAGAATTTTTTCCTTAATAAAATTCCATAGCCAACCTCTTGTAAGAAATATGCCTTTTCCTGTATAAACGAAGAGATTCACAAGAGTTTGGGGCATGGATAGGATCTGCTTTGGTGCCAGGCAGGTGGTCAGCTCTCTCTAGGAGGTCAGCATGTTGGAGGATTGAAGTGTAGGGGCCTGCATGATCTATTAGAAACAAATACAGTGAGAAAGGTGTGTGTTTTGTTTGGCAAGCATCTCCTATATAGTAGAGTACCTACCTGGAAAAGTTTCCTTTTCTATTAGCTGAAGCACTGCAAATGCTATTTTTAGATCCTTCCAGAAAATCAGTAATGAATAAGACATACTTAAACCACAACAATTCTAGTGCCTGCAGGTCTGAAGACAGTATTATATATTCTGACTATACTGCCTAGAAGGTAAGAGGAGGAAATGCACTGGATTACAAATGAAGAGACTTGGATTCTAGTCCTGCCTCTGATACTATTTAGCCTTGATCTTTCCAAGCCATTTGGGCTTCAGTTCCCACAATAAAGAGGCTGGAATAGATGAGATCCAAGGTACTTTACAACTTCATTTTTACAATTTAATGCCATACACCACATCAATAGTAACGCACAGAACCAAAACGCAACATTGGTATTTGCATTGAGACAGCGGAGAACCAGACGCAAACATGATCCAGATTCCGATATCCCCTGGGCAAGAAGCCTACCACATAATGGCAAGAACTCAACCCCAAAACTTGAAATAGAAAGGAAAAAACCTTTACTAGCTGTGGAAAAAAAAAACTTAAATTAATTTGAAACACATTTTGCTTGCTTAAACTCAGTATTCTTGCTTATTCTGTTTCCTTTTAACTCCAGATGTATAGAAAGCCCCATATTATCTTCTCGTTCTAAATAAGAAGCAGGAAGTTCATGGTTATGGTGCTAATGTGATGACGTGTATAGCCACCCTGGTACCCTGATATAGAGGTAGTGCAGCAAAGCTTTTTTTTTTATGCCTTCATTGCCTGCCCTCCTGTTCTCCTTTCTTTTTCTTTGCTTATACTTGCCTTCTCTCCTCCTCCTTTCTTTCTGTCACATCTGGTATGTGCTATGAAGTGCTGTAGCAGACAGCCTCTCAGTGGCCCCAGTGATCCCTGTTCCATGTTATTCACAAACTTGGGTATTTCCTCCCCTTGTAACTGGCTTCTAATCTGCAGAATATGGCAGCACTGAGGGGATGTCACAGCTGTGATTAGGTTACAAAAGAGTGACTTCTGTCTTGCTAATGGAGTCTCTCTTTTGATGGTTTTGTTGAAGCAAGCTGCTGTGCTGGTGAGACCCACATGACAAAGTGCTGAGGATGGCCTCTGGCTGACAAGCAGCAAGAAGCAGGGGCCCTTAGTCCAACAACCCCAAAGAACCAAGTCCTGCCAACGACCTCATAAGTAAGCATAGAAGCAGTCCTCTGGTCCAGCCTTCAGAGGAGCCCACAGACTTGGCCAACACTTGATTATGGCCTTGGGAGACACTGAAGCAGAGGTCCCAGCTGATGGGTTAATTTGCAGGAATGGTAGGGAATAATACTAACTGTAGTAAATATTTTAGTAAATATTAGCCAATGGGATGTATCACAGTGAGTGTAGCAAAGTGGGCAACCTCTTTTGGAGGCAAGAACTATAATATAGCTGGGTGCTTATCTCCTCTGTCACGTCCTGTTTCAGCTATTACACTTTGGCTCAAGACAGCCAACATTCCTTAAGTCCAGCTCCTTCGTGTCATGCTGAGGTCCTCCACATCTGACAGGTACTGGCCTAACCTTCAAATGAGAACCTCTGTGATTATGCCTGAAAATCCTAGTAGAAACTTGTTTTTTACTTCACTATGAGGGCAACAAAGGCTACTAGACACTTGTAGGTCCTCACTGGTAAGCCACAGATAGTCATGTATTGAGCTAGTCATAATTCCTGCTCACCTGGGATCTTCTTTAGCCTAAACCCAGAGACAGTACGGTTCAGTATCCATTTACAGCTTTGTTGGAAAGAATATTGCAATTGACAAGAGGCCCTATGTTAATTCTAAGAGAAATGAGTTGTTCCAATCAAGCAGCCCCACATTCTGAAGAAATGTCAATGCTAACACTGAGCAACGCTCACAGGTCCCACAGTTCTGGGCTTCATTTTTGTTTTCTCTTTGGAGCCTTCATTTTGAAAATGAGGATTTTGACTTGTAACTACATGTTTGTGTTACTCGTTAATGGGTCCAACTGGAGTGCAGAGATTTAGTGAGTTGTCCATGTTTATATTGCTGTAGGTAGCAGGGATGGGATTAAAACACAGGTCTGTGTGATTTCAAGCCTAAATTCTTCACACTAGCAAAAGACAGTAGCTTTTTGTTAGATAATTTTCTCTTGCTTCTCCAAAAATTCCCAGAAGAGAAAAATGACAAACTCAGATGTGCTCTTAACTCAACTCTCAGAAGTCAGGAACTTGGCAAGCCCTAGAGCAGCACTTCTTGTGACTGCACATTGGAATCAAATGGGGAGCTTTGAAAAATGCTGATGCCTTGGCCTAGTCCCAGATAACTGGCTTGAGTCAATTTATCTGGGGTGCAGCCTGGGTACTGAGATTTTTTTGAAGTTCTCCAGATGCTTACAATGTGTAGCCCAGGGTGAGACCCACAGCTTTAGAGAAATAAAGTTATATGTAAGCCCTGAAAAATTGGCTTTCCATCTTATTAGGTTCCTGATCAGTTCTAGCAAAGCTTCCTATCAAGGGTGACACTTTGTGTAAACTCCTGGGAGCCTAGTTTGGGAGGGTGTGCAAAGGATACAAATATTAACCATCCTCTCAGAAAAGTACAATAATGCTTCATAGTGAATGCTCAGAGAACAAACAGATCTTTTAAATAGATGTGCAAAATACATACCTAAATGCTAATCCTGCCTAAACTTCTCAGGGACTGTGAACTGATAATAGGAATTAAGAATGATCTAAAAGGTCTTTCTAGTGATATTATTATTTAGAAAGCTTGAAGAGACTTATACTAAATACATGTTTTAAAAGCTGATAGAATGATACTGTGTCCAAGCCTACAGTGACAAAGGGACAGTGTCAGAGGGAGCTGGAGGCTCTGCTGGTGGTAACACACCCGCCTTGACGGGGACTGTGGCTGATTTTATGGGTCAGGATGGCTGGGTAGGCTGAAGGTTGCCTCCTTCCTTTGCTGCCCAGTGGTTCTTTCTTTGGAGGATAATTATCTTCCCAGACAGGCCACTGAGGGAGGACATCATGCAGCTGATACATGCATTTGCATTCTGACCTTTGGTTCTCTCCCCAGACATGCTTTCGTGTCCTCAGCTCATGACAAAGCAGAAACAAAAGCCAAATGAAATCACATGTAAGTTCCCAAAGTCTGCCTGGTGTTCGGGGGTTAGGGGAGAAGGAAGAGGAGGAGAAACTGATGTGGGAAGGTAAGACCGGAAGGAAGGGAGAAGCTTCTGGTTGTGGAAGGCACTCAGCAGCCATCTGCCCTTACATGTAGAACTCCACTGCATAATGTCATGTGGGCCATGTGCTGTTACCAGTCCCAGACACGGGTCACCACCATGAACAGAGGCTGGGGACTTAGATACCTTGTGTTGGGGTAGGGACTTGTAGGGAAAAACCTTTCCCTCTGACCAAAGTGTAACTAAACAACCAGTTGAGAATTTCCTTTTGAGTTGGGCAGCAGTTGACAAACAGTAAGGAAGCAAACAATAGTCCTTAATATGATTAGGAATTAAAACCTGAAAAGACATATTATAGGATAAATGAACTTCAAACATGATGTTAATCCTAAAAGATGAAAAACATTATAAAACCAAACCGGAGTATATGGTTATATGTGCATGGAAAATGAAAGAGGAAATATTGTCATGAGAGAAAAGCAGGAGGCACATTAGATCAAATGACTTTTGGCCCCTGTTTGGTGCATCTGGGTTCTGCTAAGAAATCTGCATATTCAGTCAATCAAGGGTCAGTTTTAGAAGGAAAGAATAGTCTCATGATGCTCAGTCAGTCACCCTGATCTAGATAGCAAATGGTTATTGCTGAAAGTAAGCCAAAGTGAGGAAATACTTATTATTAGTTGAACTAGCTTTAATATGTCCTGAAGATTGCACAAGCACACTAGCCCAGGCCAAGTGTGTCAAATTGTGTTATATTCCTTCCACAAA